GAACGAGGGCTCGGTAGAGGACTCGGTGAACGAGGAGGACTCCGCGCTTACCGCGGGTCTCTAATCACCAGTCGCTCATGTAAATCCAAATGGAGTTTCAGGCGGCCATTCCCTGACGGTTCCTCGCCCTAACATCGCGCAGATTCAAAGTCAGTCGCGAGACTTAACTCGAAAGCTCCGCCACCTCTTTCTTCAGCGCAGCGTTCTCACCTTGCAACTGAACGACTACAGGATAGGAAGCCGCGAATAGCTGGGCGTAATCGCCGCTCCTGTTGGGCACCACCTGTGTTGGTGTATGCGGCGCGAACACACGCTTCTTGTTGGAAGGTTGTTGGCCCACCGCTATGTGAAGAAAAAGCTTCAGATCCTTGTCCAGGGAAAAGGATACCCGAAGAGTTTCGACTTATGGGAACCGGTTGACGCTTGCAATGCGTCGAGCTGTGCCTGGGCTGGTGGCTGCTTACGAGGAGAAGCACCAGCTGTCATTCGCTCTGCTAGGTCCAGATGGACTAGCAGGAGAAGCGTGGCGAGAAGGAGGTGGGGGTATGCTTACCACCCAATATTTCCCTGCGCACGCTTCACAGCGAATCGGATTCGCTGCGGACTCTGTTTCACTGCATCTGCATGCGGTGTAACACGGAGCAGAAAGTATCGCCTCGTATTCGTCGGCTGTTTCGTTAGAACGCAGCACGACTGGAGATAGGGAAAGCACGACTTCGTGCTTTGCCCTGCCTTTACCACGATGGAGAGAGCTAAAGAGTTTATTAGCGTCAATAGTGGCACGCTGCAAAAGCGCTGTACTAGACCCCTTCGAGTTTATCCTCTCGGATGGAGTTGGCATTGGTGGTAAGCCACCACTCACGTAGCCGCCATCACGACGGCGGGCTAGTGAGTTCGATGGTGTACTCGGTGGAGCTTTAAGCTCACACTCACCTGAGTCTGACTCTCCATTATGGATTGTCAAGACATCAGCCTGAGGAGTCACATCTGATTGAGTCGCGACTACTCCTTTCGAAGTAGCGCGCTCAGTATTAGTCGCTGCGCTCGTAAGCGCAGGCGACGAGGCCTTACCTTCACTTGCAGGAAGCATAGATGCTTCCTCAAGGACGGGTGTCTCAAATGATAGGTGCATATGTCCCATCAATGCGCTTTGCTCATCTCTACTTTGGGGTGATGGCAATGGCGTACTCTCATTGTATAAATGAGAGATGGACCTTCATCCACATTATAGTGAGATGGAAGATCCACCCCAGTGCCTGACGCACTTTGCGACGGCTGCGATAAATCGCGGCGCGTGCGCTTAGTGTTGGACTGCATGGGGCCTTTGCAGGCGACCCATCAGCCTTACCACGTTTCGGTGGCATGAGAATTGAGTAGACTAAGCGGCGCGTTTTAGAACGGCTCGCAGTCTCTCTATCTCCTAGGCGATGTTTTATAAAATGTAAACATCGTTCTAAAACGGGGGATGGTGTAACAGGGCATCTAGTTACACGTAAACATTAAGTAATATACTTAATGTTTGGTCTAAAAGTATCCATGATTACTTTTGACCTGTCACTTGGGTGCGATACACAAACGTGGTCCACCCTCGTGAATGTGATATCCATTGATGGATTCACATGAGAAGGGATGACGCTAGTTGAAGCTAGGCATCGCGACGTCTCAGAAGGACGTCAGTTAACGATCTTAAATCTAGATTTAAGATCATGCGACAGGATACGCTTCTAAAGAGTCGCGTATCCATTCTATATACATATATAGCCAATCAGTAGTTAAAACATATATTTAATTATAATTCATTAAATATAGCTCAGTCTTGAATTTGCTTAACACAGACACACCGCGCACGAGAAGCTGAGTAAGCTTCTGCGTGACGTAAGTAGGACACTTGTTAATAAGAAGCGTCAACACAACGTCTTGTTAACGAGTGCTACGGTCTCGCATAGCAGCATTAAAAAGAACAAGGATGTTCCGAAAGGAGGCTATCAAGACGTTGTGTCGACGCTGCTTTCCGCAAGCACGTTAATAATTAGTCAATATACTAAGCAACTTGTTCACGAAGCGAAATTTATCTTGAAAAAAATGAATCCTCCAGGAGCCACCGTTGGAATCTTTTTGTTTGGCCATAGGGATAGTATAGTATACGTCGTGCACGTTTTTCATTTTTTTCATTTTTGCAATACATTTTCTTATTAAGTAGTGTATTTATTTTCACATCTTGTAATATTTTAATATTTCTATGTACTATCTGTTATTTTCATTTTCAAATGTAATCAAAAATTTCCTTGTTATTTCGACGTACGAATGAGGTCTTTAAACGCAAGTATTCACAATAATGACGTCTAAGCCATATAACTTGAGCAAACTAATAACATAACATGATCGTGTCGGCTTGCTCACAGATCCTACAGTAACAGCCTATAGTCATGTGCCGGCTGTTAAAAAAATCATCTTTAAATTTTCGGTCAGCCTCTTTTACGTTCGATTACCCAAATATCTATTATTTATGTAATATTCCAATTCTTCTGACAAAATGACAACACCTCCACCATCAGGTGGTAGGCCGGCTGGTGCCATTCGTAGCGGCGGTTCATGGCGCCAATCGTCGCCCGTGCAGACACCCGAGTGCACGACACGTACACTCGCCTTTGATTCGACTGCATCCCGTGTCCGTGCCAAGAAGCGACGCCGAAGAATGGCTCAATCCGCAGCATTTATCACTACAAGAAGACCCCTGACGACGGAAGAGGAAGAAGAAGAAGAGGCTAAAGATCAAGACGACAAAGATCAAGAACAGGACAAAGAGAAGGAACAAATGACTAGCAAGAGGAAAATGAAGATGGAGGCGAACGTCATGAGACATTCGACGGTGTCTGAAGGAGACAGAGAGGACAATATTAAGGCCCATGAGTCACTTTTGACCCATAGGAAGACGCTGGAACTATCTCGTGGTCTCCTTTTAGTCCAAGACAATCGACAAAAGGTAATCGAAAGACTGCGCCATTTGGTTAAAAAGTGCTGTGAGCAACATCACGCTGCAACCGCGCTCTTTTACGCGGATAAACTCGTGACCATGTCTCCTAGAGACAAAAATGACGTACTGCTGTTTGCAGATGCGTGCTATTTAAATCGAGAGTATCATCGTGCTATTCATGCAATTAAACAAGCCAGATTGGTAGAAATGGATGGTGTGAAACGAGTTGGAGAGGGGATGCCATGTCATGTGATGCTGCAGGCAGCTCGGTTGCTCGGGAAATGTATGGTAAGTTTGGGGGTGCTAATGTGATCGGTGTTGGGGTTCTGAAAATTGACTGAGTTTTGTTTCTGCCTTGTAGTTGGCGATCAAACAGAAGGATGAATGTTTAGAATTGTTAGGGGCGATACTGCCTGAACGAGAGGAAGACGTAGTGCTGTTGGCTAAGAAGGTGCAGCTGCTAAATGTAGCAGACCCAAATGCACAGGGAATCAATGTGGTATCGTCGCTAGCACTTTTGATGGGTGAGACATTCGAAGCTACTGGCAATCGCGAGAACGCAATGGTCTACTTCCGTATCGCGCTGCGCTGCGATGTGCAGTGCACGGAGGCATTCTTTCATTTATTTGATAAGGAAATGCTGTCGCCGCAAGAAGAGAAGGAGCTTGTTGCGTCGCTAGACTTTTCGTCCGATGAGATGCAGTTGCTAGAGCTTTTGTACCAGACGCATGTTGGAAAGGTAAATGTTATGGCTCATTTTGAAGATTTCTTACGTTACTAATATTTTCTGTGGCTCGTTCCGTCGACAGTATAATTCGACACGATCCGTTGACGAGACATTTACAGAAGTGGAGCATCGATTTGGCCTGGCAGACAACTTAGATCTGGTACGTGAACGATGCAGGTGTGGGTGGTCGACTCGCACTAACGATCGTTGATGGTGTGAACGCAGAACGTCATGAAAGCCAAAAAGTTTTATTATCGGCATGACATTCAGCAGGCACATGAACTTTGCGAAAGGTGAAGGCTTTTCCTTTTGGAACTTTGTCTTCCATTTGCCTTTTTCAGGAGACTGACGTTTGTGTATGGATGCGCTAGGGTTTGTGAAGAAGACCCATTCAATTTCCGTGTAATTTCGGTCTACGTTGGCACGTTAGTAGAGCTTGGAAAGAAGCGCGAACTGTACCACTATGCTCACCAAATGGTACAGTTTTCGCCTGATTTGTATCTTGCAACTTACTAGTAGGATCATGCTATGCTAACATGACATCCTCGTACATTGCAGGTAGATGTTTATCCCACAAGAGCGTCGGCTTGGTACACAGTAGGCTGTTACTATCTCTTGATTCAGAAATACGAGGCTGCACAGCGATATTTTCAGTGAGAGAGCTATGCGAGTTTGTATTAATGTGATCTCGAGGACGCAGATGTCATAATAATTTACTGTGGTTCGTATCTGTAGCAAAGCAACGTCCCTAGAGCCAAGCTATGCACCTGCATGGATTGGATTTGGGAACTCTTTTGCGGCCCAAGATGAAAGTGATCAGGCCATGTCATCGTACCGGACGGCTTCCAGTCTCTTTCCAGGTTCGCACCTGCCATCTCTGTACATCGGCATGGAGTATCTTCGCACCAACAACTTGGTCCAAGCGCAAGAGTTTATTCGACAGGCAAGTGTAATTTGTCCTACAGATCCATTGGTGTACAACGAGTTGGGTAGTGTATTCTACAGGCAGGAAGATTACCCAAATGCAATCGAAATGTTCACCAAGGCCTTACACCTGTGCAAGGGCCTCCCTGAGGTAAGGAGGACACATTGTATCGGGAAATTGGCGAGGTGAGATTTTCACATGTCTTTGTGAGTGCTGCTGTAGCGACTGATGGAGGCGTGGGAGCCGACGCTCTTCAACCTTGGATATTCGTACCGTAAACTCCGGTATGCTTGGCACTAAATTAGTACTTATGTTTTGATTCCTGACCGACTGACCGACATGCATTATGATTGAATAGGAAGTTTGACCAGGCGATTCATTATTTCCAGAGTGCACTCCGGCTATCACCTCGGAACGTACGTTATATGCAGACCAGAATGAGTATCAATATAGAAAATGCGGTGCTCCGTACTGACTTGCATCATTACAGGCATCGAGTCTAGCTGCACTTGGCTTCACCTATCATATGAAGGGATGTCTAGAGCAAGCCATCGAAACCTACCATGCGGTAACGACATTAGTAGCCTCTTTCAGTACTTTATAGTTCTAACTTTTGCACATGATTCAGGCCCTTGCATGCTCTTCTGAAGATACTCTGGCAGGGTCCATGATCACTGTTGCGTTTGGGGAATCGCTGTCTGGCGGGCTTGCTTCATTCCCTGAATTCGCGAAGCCGCCACCGAAAGATGCTCCGATGACAAGTGGTCTCACCCCCCTTAGAGTTCGTCGTTCAGCAGCACCTCGACGGCAACGCACATCTCTCCCAACGCATGGACCGAACCTACAGCAGCCTCGCACGCAGTCGACTGTCAGCGTGCTCGAGCTCGACTTTCCGAGGATAGCTCCGTAACGAACAACAACAATAACGAACGCCACTGAATGCATTGCGATGATGACTTTGACATATGGCCTCACGCAATGTTGTTGATTTCGTAGTAGTACTGCTCTCGTGAACTGACGCAAATTTGGCCGAATGTCCTTCTTCCTCTGACGCCGCAGATCGGTTACTTCAATTGCTCAACTTGAGGATTTACTAGCACCGGACTTGCACTTGTTAAAAAAAGCCATCGTCGCTGCAGTACGGTGTTCAGGAAACGATTTGTCGATGCAGGGCTAATAATACACGTACTTGGTATCCTCATCTTGTGTTGGTGTCCTTCTTATCCCAGAAATCCGGCCTAACTAGTGCTTCATCTACTTGTGACTTGCATCGTTTTGGTACAACTTTCCGTGCTGCTGAGTCAGGCATTCACGAGCACGATTTTATAATTTCTTCACTGATGCATTGCGTTGAGCAAACCACCCATTTTTTTTCTCGAGCCGGCTGAAAGATCGATTAGACTTTGAGCTCTTTGATCGCTTGTTTGGCACGAGCAACTTCATCTCCTTTCTCTCACTCTCTGGCTTCCAGCCTTGCTAAAGTTAACTTTATCTTTTCTTCAGCCTCGCGCAAAAATTGGTCTCAAAGTGTTTTGAATACCTAGCAGGAAGAGATTTGTCGATGCAAAGCTAATGATACATGTACTGTAGGAATAAAAGAATTACATAGGTTCCATTCAATGGCCAGACACGAGCAGAGAAAAATGCAAAGAATGAGACAGTAATGCATATGCATTGAATTAAACCACTGACTGCATCGTGCTGCTAAAGTTAGTAGTGATAGTAATGGTACGACAAGTCGCATACTACTGTACCTGACGTCAACACTCGGTCAGCCGAGAGCAAATTATGATTCTGCTTTCGGCTTTTTTCGGCTTCTTAGCTTTTTTTCGACTTCTTTCAACTTCTTGACTCTTTTCGTTTTCTTGATTGATTTTTTGTTTAACATTTTCAGCTGTTGGAATCGATACATGGCCCTGCGCAGTTTAGCTGCTTGCTCTACACCAGAATTATTTGCCACCAACTTTGCGATATTGTCATCTCTTATCTGCATAAGTCGTTTCATTTCGTTGGTGAAAGTCGTCATCACTCGCTCTTCGTCAGTTGCAAGCGACATTTTCATGTCGTCGTCTTTTGAATCACCATTTCGAAGATATCTTCGGCTTAGGCCTTCCTTGATCATATTGTCGGACGTGGAGGTCGAGTGTCGAATGTTGGACAGGACATCGATCTCGTCGGTTTCGGTATTTGCTGCGACAGGAAGACTGCAGTCTAAAACAGCTATCGCAAGCGCAACAAAACGCTTTGACATATTCACTGTTGCAATAAAAGACTTACTTGGGGTCTCAAAGTACAGAAAGGAACTGAGAATAAACGATAGCTTCTATAAACCCACTACAAATGTTCCTTGCAAATCTTTTATTTTGAGCCCCGCCAATTTGCCTCTTTTGCTGCGATAGGCGACCTATCACTTCCCTATAACTGTATAAACATAGGGATATTTGCTGTAATATAAACAAGTCGCGTCGACCATGCAACCAGCACCACGCTCGTGATGAGAAATAGACGTCTATTCTCACTGTTGCCGCTGTTCCGTACGTTCAAAGTCTACCGTGAATGCACAATCTTTTATTTTGAGCCCCAGAAGCAACCTACTCGAAACAGTGTTCGCCAACTGCCCCTTTTGCTACGATAGGCAACCCATCTCTTTCCATCTCGTCCCTATAACTTCTGTCAAAACATAAGAGATATTTACTGGTAATAGAAACAAGTACCACGCTCGTGATGAGAAATAGACTGTCTATTTTCACTGTTGCCACTGTCTCTTAATTCGTACGTTCGGAGTCTAGCTTGAGAGAAGCAAATATATGAAGTGTCTGTAAAAATGGGGAGCTGCTATATTCACACCTCTTTTTGCTTAAATTCACACCCTTTTCATTTTTGGAATTTATGTATAAATAAGTAAGGGAGATGCTATTGAATTTCACACCCTTTCCATTTTGGGAATATCTATATAAATGCACCCCTCTTTCATAAATTTCACACCCGTTTCCTCAAATTCACATACACATACGTCGTGAATCGTTAACAGATGTAATATTAGTTGTCTTATAATTTCATTCAATCGTATGGTACATCTGAAAATATTTCATGGTGACTCATGGATGCACAGATGCAGATTTTTTTGGATTGTTACCCATTTTCCCATTTGCTTAGGCCGCATTGAACTTTAGCATGTGCTTGGTAACCCCAGTTTTCGTCACCGACAACGTCCGTTACGCAATATGTAAGGAAGTAAGATGATTGGCAGCGAATCAATAAGAAGGATCGTTTTGACCAAGTGTGTAAGTGTTAATTAATGCGTGAATAGTATGCTTTTAATTTTTCAGCCTCCTATTGCTTTCGAAAACTGGCAAGTTCGTATTGACCTAGTTTGACCACAGCTCTCGAATATCCTTTTTTTCGACTCTGCCTTTTCCACATGCTCAAATTTGGAAAAGTCTTGATGTGTGCTGTTTTTGGGAGGTTACGGGAACCAGGAACGACCACGGGTATTTTTGTGTATGTCTGGACCTCTCATCTGTAGCGAAGGAGCCATGACTTGTGTGGCGCCATCAGTGGTGATGGCGTGGATGTAAACGGCTCGAATGTAAGGAGTGTATTTATATATAAATTCCTAAAATGAAAGGGGGAAAAGGGTGTAAATTTGAAGAAAAAGGGTGTAATGTTAGCAATTCCCTCTTTTTATCCATGTATATATTTCCGAAATGTAAAGGGTGTGAATTTTAAGGAAAATAGGGTGTGAACATAGCAAGTCCCTATTATCTTTCCCTATAATATTGTCTCTGCATCTCCTTGAAGTTGGAGATGACCTTTAACTGGTTAATATCGGCCATTATATCAGCCATGGCGCTGACCGATGACCGATGGACGCGCGCAATGAATGGAGGGCAAGTTGTCAATATACATAGTTGTAGTTTACTATAGTGAAGACAAGGTTATAACAGATTAGTTTTATTAGATAGGTAGCTTAACGATATTAAATACAGTTCTCTTTTTCTCTTCATCCTCTTGTTGATAATCTTCCACTGTCACGTGTACGTAATGTTCTGAGGCATTTGTTTTCACTGTAGTCAGTAAAAGTAGATTATACTCTAAGAGTATAATCGGAGGTGCCCCATTACAGACACTGCAAACGCAATATTCGGTCTTATTCCAGTTGCCATTACAGAAGTGATCCCACTAAAGATCTATACGGACAATTCTCCATTTTTTGGTCCTTTTTATCACATTTGACCTGCCACACTCGGATTGTGTACCGGATTTAAATTATCTTAGTGAAATTTCTTAACTACTCTGGCGATAATGCGCTTAGGCTGATCTTGAGCTATTCTATACTCATTGCGTATCCAACATATTTGGCGAATATGTAGCATGGCTACACAGCTCTTAAGGTCACAGAAAGATTGTAAAGGTTAAAAGCCTTTTACTTTAAATAAAAGGAAATAAAGCTATGGCTAAAATTCTCTTATTTTTATGAAGCTAATCAAACAACTTAATATTCTACCCCATTGTAAGGAACTTGGGATGGACTTCTAGTCAACAAGCAATAAGCTTAAGGGTTCAGAGAGCCAAAGCAAAGAGTGCAAGAACAATCTAGGAGCTTAAAGGCTCAGAGAACCAACGCACGAAGTGAACGAGAGAAGCAATCCAATACCGGCTTTATCTCGACGACTTACAATGAGAACTGATTTCATCTATGCATCAAGATCTTTAGGAATAAATCTACCCTAAGTACCCTACACTAGATTTAATCTCTATAATAGTAAACATAGTAGTAATGATACTATGCAGGCTTCTTTATTAGATGATATGTCATTCAAATATCTGTGTATGGTGTACATAGTACGGCAAAATATCGGTTATCAAGTCCTAACCGATATGTACGGTATTACCGATACCGTAATTCAGTGCCCACAGGTATACCTCCTAAAAGGAAAGTATAAGAAACACAATGTATATAGTAACGTATAGTTAGCGTTTTATTTATCCAACCGTCTTGTAGACCCGTAACACCCTTCCCCTAAACTGACGTTTCCATAGAATGTCATCCGACCCATTTCCTATTTGAGGTAGTTCTTTCGCGGGTGTTAGGACCTCACGGTTGTTCACGGCACACGTGAAGATTCCTGGTATTGAGTCAAGGACTCTTTAAAATCTTCTTAGAGTAAATCTCGATGAAGCAGTGATTAAAAACATGACACTATCTTCATGGGACCCATCAGGTCCTTACCAATCACACATGGGTGTGAAAATGACACGAGCTGTGGTGAAGTGTTGTTTTTGTGATGTGGAGGTCCCAGAATCCAGTTGGATGCGGAGTATAGGCCGTGGGTCAGGGACAGAGGACCAGAGAGACAGGGGCCTCGAAGGGGAGCGACCGTTGGTGGAGGACAATCCGCAGGACCCCACCACAGAGCCAAGCACCAATTCCGTTCCCTGAACGTGGTGCTGTGGATGCGATAAAGTGTTTCGCGATCCGCTTGACGTATCGTCAACGGCAACAGTTACCAATCAGCTCTATGAGAAACAACAAGGAGCCGATAACCACAAGGAAGTCGCAAAGCGCCGGTCGAAGAATATGACTAGGCTTTACGGTTACCGGCAGTATATGTTCAAGCCACTCTCTGTGGAAGAGCACCTATAGAAAGTATCCAGTCAGCCCCTATCAGGCTTGGCCATTGGGCCTAAGACCACTTCGCCTAAGGATGGCGCTTCGCAAACGGCTCTTCGAAGGCGATATTTGGAGCCTCACACCACCACGCAGAGCCAATACGTGGTGCACCAGTCCTCCCATAAAGAGTGTTTTAACCCTTTTTTCGCGAGAGAGACCGAGGAGAAAGAGAATATGACCTTAAGCCGCTCGGCGCAGTATGCGCGACGCTTAAGCAGCGAATGGGATCTACAAGC